TTATTATGTTATCCTTCTTTTACTCTTTAAAATAAAAAAAAAAAGACTGTATTGAATGACTGAATTAATGGCTGAACATTTGTCTTTATAACACATGAAAGTAAGGAAATGTAAAAAAGGCATTCACTTTCCTTTTATAGCCTCACACATACAAATATTTAGCTCCCTTTCTTTCCTGCCCTGCACTCAAACTCTTATTTCATGAAAACAAATAATCTTTAAAACATCATATACAATGATGAAGTAATTATATAAGAAAGAAAGATGGGAAGACAAGGGTTGGGATACAATGCCCCATGATGAACGAAATAATTATGTATTGCAAACATGTACTAATAAAAAATTAAAATTTGAAAAAAAATTTAAAAATCAAATAAACTTAAAAGACTAAATGGGTATCACAAGTTCATAGTTTATAGCTTGCCCTATACTTCTGGTATGTGGCACAGCCCTAACTATTACGTGAGACAGTTAATGACCAGCAAGGAGAGAGGGATGGTAGATACTTTGGCTTGAAACTAACTATTGAGCTGCTCAGAGCATTAGAGGTTATTTCTTTTCTTTTTTTTTTTTTAGTCTTTTGGAGACAGGGCCTCACTAGTTCAGATAGGCCTTGTGCTCACTTTGTAGCCCAGGCTGGTCTCGAACTCACTATGATCCTCCTGCCTCAGCCTCCCTAGTACTGGGATTACAGGCATGCGCCACCATGCCCAGCCAGAGGTTATTTCAAAATAAGGACCATGAATAGGCAGCAAAGAAAAGGAACAGAATAAACCACAAAGCAGATCACAATTTGCTAAGATTCTTAGTTTCAATGAAAAATTTAAAGCTACATGTGGTGGAGCATGTCTGTCCTCCCAGTACTCAGGAAGCAGAGGCGTGAGTTTTGCCCATGGTGGCTCACGCCTGTGAGTGAGGAGGACTGCTGTGAGTTCAAGGCCAGCCTAAACTGCACAGTGAAACCCGGTCTCAAAAATACCAAAAAAAAAAAAAAGGAGGAGCACCATAGATTTGAGGCCAGTTTGGCCTACTCAGTGACTCAAAGCCAGCATGAACTACATAGTAAGATGCTGTCTCAAAAAAAGTAATAATAATAAAAATTTTAAAATGAATAGTTACATTGAAGTTCTTAAAAATCAAAATCTTACCAAGTGACATTTATTTAAACTGTTACCAATAATCAGGAACAAAATGGGATTTATCTCAAAGATACTCTGATTTTATGTATGAAGTTTTTAAAAAGTACATAATCACAACCCTGATTTTATGACGTCTATTGCTGCCTTGTCCATATTTCTGTAAATAAGTGGTCTATTGCTTACCTTCACTCTCCGAACTGGAAAGTCTGCGCTTGTGAACTCGCCTTATGTCTTTGCCACGTCGTAAACTCTTCTGGGAACCATCACTTTCAGAATCTTCTTTGTAATTAATTTGTCTTTTCTGGTTCCTCCTTGACCGCCTTCGCCGAGTTTCTACAAAATCATCACTAAAATCATCGCTAAAGTCACTTTCTATTAAAAAAGAAAAAGACAAAAAAGAAGTATAAAATTTAAGTCCATTAAGTAGAATTACAACTAGCTTAGGCTATAAAAAAAGTAAAACTACAAAGCATAGTTGCGATAAAATTTTAGATGAGGAATAGCTGGGGCTTTTTTTGTCATATTGAGGACTGAACCCAGGGTCCCCTATATGGTTAGGCAAGCCCTCTAAAACTGAGCTGTAACCCCAACTCTTACTTTTTTTATTTTGAGGTAGGGTCTCACAGAAATCGCTCAGCCTGGCCTTGAATTTATGATCCTCCTACTCCAGCCTTCTAAGTAACTGGGATTATAGGCATGTACCATTGCACTCAACTATACAAAAACTTAAAAATCTTGTTTTCTTTTTAACAGTTCAACCTGTGGGGGCCTTTAACGCCAACCTTTACAAATAAATACTATTACCAGTTAATTCCCAAAATAAGAAAATGTTTCAAGGGGGAACTAGTGTGTAGCTCCATGATATAACTCTTCCCTAGCATGTACCTTTGGCTTGATCCCTAGCAACACACACAAAAGTTTTTAATATATTTTAAAAAATCTTTATTTACCCTAGAGCTACTGAGGCAGATGTATACCTGACACAACACTTATTGGTAGACAGTCACCAAAATCTTCCTCCAGGTAATCTGCTGTTCCTATTTGGGCTATTTTCCTAATAATACAACCCTCTAACCAACGGAAACTCATAAGCCTATGTATGCCAAAGAAGTACAAAATTAGAGTGACAATGTTTACTCTTCTCCATGTGGAATGAAAATCTGTTAAGTAAAGCACACAAGTCTACTTACCTCTCAAAGTATTGGTAAATAGTATTGTCACCTTGATCAATAAAACAGAATGTGACTATGGCTTTATCTAAGAGCTGTTTTTCACAAGTGTTTACAAATTATACACAGAATTATCACACTCTACCTTCTTATTCTCTAATGAATTAAGAGCTAGCTATTAGTCTGAAGTGGTTTTACAGGCCAAATCTTGGATAAACCAAATCCAAATGGTAATATAGTTATTATGCACTAAAAAAATATGAACCGCAAGTATACACTAATATAAAGTAAGAGAAAGAAAAAACTCCTTACAGAACAATGAGTAATAAATATAAAAAGTATGACAGAGTTGAAAAATTCAAGGTATAATCAAAATATAGTGATTATTTAAATTTAAAAATTATTACAGTAAAAGCACATGAACTCCTCTCAAAATACTCTCACTTGCTTCAAACAGCCCATTCTTGCCATGCTGCAAAGCAGTTCTGGAGGTTTTCTTTAAGGACGTGAACAAAAATATAAGAAATACTGTTGCCATGTGCCATCCAAAGGAAAGGCAGGCTCACAATAACATTCTGGGGTATCCTCACCCACCTATTCACTGAATCTGGCACAGTACAACTTTTTTCTTCCCTAAAGTCAAAATGACCATAGAAAGTAAACATTTTGAATCACTTCAGGACACTGAGTTAGCCATAGCAGCACAATTAAAGATACCAGTATTTTTGATATGTCCAGAATATGGGATGCCTGGGCACGTGGCTTAAAATAAAAAATAAAAAGGGGTAAGGAATATAGTTCAGTGGAAGAGCACTTGCCTCACATGTGTAAAGCCTTGGGTTCAATCCCCAGTGCTCTCCATAAAAAGTCAAGATTAGTAAAACAAAATTTGAGAGACATTCCAATTAAAGGAGACTAAAGAGACATGAATAAGCGGAATGTGTAATTCTAGGTTAGATTCTAGATTAGGAAAAAAATAAATATAAAAGACAATATAGGAGTGTTAGATGCAATCTGAGCAACGTTAAGTTTTTGACTTACGCAACAATACTGTGCGTTATATAAGAAAATGTTATTTTTTGAAAGAATCATTGATAAAGAGGAATGATTTCACCATTTACTCAGAGGATTTAGAAAAATACAAAAGAACAAAACCCAGAGTATGGCCAGAGTTAGAGATACAATACTCATGTTTATAGCACTTCTTAAGTAAGATGACAGCTATCTACCAATTACATAAGGCACATCTATCTAATTCCACTATTGAATGCTTCTCACTATTCAGTTTCACTGTGAAGATAAAGGGTAGGCACAGGAACAGTATCAAAGGGATTCACCACAACTGTAAATGAGTACTATATAAAGTTAACATCAACTAGTATGTATTTTTTCAATGCACTCTATAAAAAAAAATAATCATAAGGTCTCAAAATTTTATCAAAATGCTTATTACAATTGATAGAATTTATAAACTCTTAATTCTAGAAATCATACAAATTTCTTGGCTTGGGTTAAAATGGACACAAATTATTTTTACCAGAGTCTCTACTGTTCTCCTCAGATTCCTCCTCTTCATCATCATCAGAGTACTTTTTCTTTGGGGTCTTTCTGCGCAAACGTCTGCTTTGCCTCATTGGCCGGGAGGGGTGTCGCCTTAGTCTGCGACTACAGAAATCAGTGTCACTGTCATCATTAGATGGTGGATCTTCTTCACTTTCATCTAGGTTTTCATCAGATACAACAAATTCATCTTGAGATCTGTCCAAGGTAAAAAGATAAATTATGATGATACATTTAGAACCAAAAACATATTTTTGAACAGTTGAGTTCAAATTTCAGTGAGTTCAGTGAAAAGTTAAGAACTGTTTAGTGTAATGTATTGGAATAATGTTATCAGTATCGCTTTACAAAATGGAGAAGTGTTTTGCTGCCTGTCTCTCTCAGGTATAACTGTGAAGATCAACTGATGACTTTTTTCTTTTTGGAGACAAGATCTTGCTGTTTGGTCTAGGCTGGCCTCAAACTTGTGATCTTCCCTGGCTAAACCTCCTGGGTGTGATATCTGGCTGATACTGATTTTTTTTTTTTCCTTTTGGTACCGAGAATCAAACTCATGACCTCAGGCTTGCAAGGCAAGCACTTAAGCTGCTGAGCTATACCCCTGGCTTTTTTTTACATAAATTACATTCGTCTCTTACAGTGTCCCCCATGAACTAAAATTCAGCCAAGTTCAAAACCAAACTCATTATTTCCCAACTTAGTACTCTTCTATTTCAGTTTGGTATCTGATATCACCACCATCCACTAACTAAAAGCACACACTTGATACTCCATTTAACCTCACTCTTCCCTTTACGTTTCTTATATCTAAACTCTTCAGTGGCTTTTCATCATTTTCAGGAAAAAGGCAGAACTGTTAAACATGACAAAGCACTCTGTAATCTGGTTTGTTTTTATATTCAGGCCACATCTCCAACAGGACATTTTCTACTTCATCCCCATACTCTTGCTATCCTGAGTCATCAGGACTTTCCCAGTTAGTGCACGACATTTGATGGCATGCTGCCTGTATCTTCTCTGCTTAGAAGCCCTTCCTTCCTTGTCCTGCTTCTAATCTCAAACTCAGTGATCTGCCCTAACATTCAAAGCTTTACATCTATGGTGAAGCTTCCACAAACCTCTTGGGTTGAGCCAATTATATTCTTAGTTTCCCTTCATTTACGTTTTACCTGTACTTAATTAGCAGAATGACTTTTCTGTGGTTTATATGCTTATTAACTGCATTAATAATCTGAAAGGTTTAACTTTGCAGTACTGTTTCAGTACCTACTCTGTACAGAAGCCTTCCCTGACCTTCCACACTGGTTTACTTGCCTAACTCCACAATCTGTATAGGTCACCAGATGATAACAACTAATTGTATATTTCTCACATTTAAGTGGGAACCGCATCAACTCAATAGCTCAAGGTAGCACAGATAGAGAGAACGCTCTCAAAAAACGAAAGTTCAGTTGTTGTTAATCGAACTTAATTATGTGTTCCTGAATATTGAACCCACAACCTTCATACTCAGCTACATCGCTAGCCCTTTTTTATTTTTCACTTTGTGACAGGATCTTGCCACGTTACTAAACTGCCCAGGATGGGCACAAACTTGTAATGTTCCTGCCTTAGTCGTCCAGGGTACAGGGATTATAGGCATCATGCATGGATATTACTTTTGAATTTTTTCTTTTGGTGGTACTGGGAAATGAACCCAGGGCCTTCACACTGTGCTCCATCCCCAGCCCTTTTTATTATGGGACAGGGTCTGGCTAACGCATAGAAATTCCCCAGTGAACTTGCAGTTTTCCGGCCTCAGCCACACAGAGTGTTGGGATTACAGGTGTGTGCCACCAGGCCCGGCTATGACTTTGAATACTTTATCAACAATAGCCTAGTTTTTATTCTGCTCAAAAAGAGAACCAGAATCAGCATTCTGAAGCTGCTTTAAACACACTAAAAATCAAGGGATTGTCTATGTACACCAAAAGCAAAAGACCTACTGCAGTATGGCCAAGCCTTTCTACCTCCTCAGCTCCACTGAAGCTGGGATCTAGAAAACAGGATCAAGATAGGCATTGTGGTGCACACCTGTAATCCTAGCACTTAGGAGTCTGAGGCAGGAGGATTCCCATGAGTTAGAGGTCAGACTAAACTATATAGCAAGACCCTAGCTCAAAGAAGAAAAAAGAGAGGGCCAATGGCAGACCACACACCCATCACTGATCTTGAATTCATCTTCACTCTCTTCTTCATCCAAGTTGCTATCACTGTCCAGATCATTCAGACGCCGGCGTTTCTTCCGTCGAGCAGCAGCTGCCCTCTGAGGTCGTTTATTTTCTTTTCTCTCTTCATCTAAGATAGTAGAGATGTCTTTCCCACGGTGACCTGTGATGGTGGAGATGTCTTTTCCTCGGCCAACTCCTGAGGGGAAGAAATAACTGCTTATTAAATCTTCCCCTTAATTTATAGACTTTCTTCAGTTCCTCCTGCAAATATGCTGACTTCCCAGAACAAGACAAGTATGTTCACTGTCACCACTCTTATTCAATATAGTTCTGGGAACTTTAGCCAGAGTAATCAGACAAGAGAAAGAAATAAAAGGAATAATGATAGGAAAGGAAGAAGTTAAATTACCATTATTTGAGGATGACATGATAGCCTATATAAAAGACCCCAAACACTCCACCAAAAAACTTCTAGATTTCATAACCAAATTCAGTAGCATAACAGGATACAAAGTCAACACTCAAAAATCAGTAGCCTTCCTGCACACAAATAACAAACTCACTGAGGGAAAAATTAGGGAAACAATACCTTTCACAATAGCATCTAAAAAACCAAAATACCTAGATATCAATCTAACGAAGTAAAAGACATCTACATTGAAAACTACAATACTGTGAAATGGAAGACTGAAGAGAATATCAGAAGAAACAATATAGTGAGAATGACCATACTTCCAAAATTCTTACATAGATTTAATGCAATTCCAATCAAAATTCGAACAGCATATCTCACAGAAGTAGAACAATGCTAAAATTCATTTGGAACCAGAAGAGACCTAGAATAGAAAAAGCGATTCTGGGCAACAAGGCAAGGCAGGGGGCATCACAATCTCTGACTTGAAATTATACTTCAAAGCTTCTGTGATTAAAAACAGCATGGTACTGACAAAAAAAAAAAAAGAAAGAAAGAAAAGAAAAAAGAGAAGAGAAGAGAAGAGAAGAGAAGAGAAGAGAAGAGAAGAGAAGAGAAGAGAAGAGAAGAAAAAAGAAAAGAAAAGAAAAACAACCCAGGGATCAGTGAAACAGATCAGAAGATGCAAAAACAATTCCAGACATACTCAGCCACTTTATCTTTGACAAAGAAGCCAGACACCTTAAATGGAAAAAACATAGCCTCTCCAATAAATGGTACTGGAAAAACTGGCTATCCACATGCCAAAGATTAAAACTAGACCCATATCTTTCACCGTGCACTAAACTACAATAAAAAATGGATCAAAGATCTAAATATTATAACAGAAACATTAAATCTTCTGCAGGATGGAATAAGTAAAACTCTCGAAGACACTGATATAGGCAAAGACTTAGTAAATAAAACCCTGTTTGCACAGGAGGTATCACAAAGAATCAACAACTGGGATTTCTTCTCATTAAAAAACCTTTGCTCAACAAGAGAAACCACCAATACAGTGCAGAGACAACCCACAGAGTAGGAAAACTTTTGCCAGCTGTTCCTGACCAATGATGTTGAATTGGACCCCCCAAATTTAAAGACCCAACTCAGAAATGGGCATCTGAGAAGTATACATTAATTCTCAGATGAAGACATACAAATGGCAAATAAATACATGAGAAAATGTTCAACATCATCAGTCATTTGAGATGCAAATTAAAACAATGGTGAGATTCCATCTCACTCCAGAAAGAATGGCTATTATCCAGAAATCAACCAATAACAAATGCTGGCAGGGCTGTGGGGAAAAGGAACCCTTTTCCTCTGTTGGTGTGAGTGTAGACTGGTGTGACCACTGTGGAAATCAGTGTGGAGATTCCTCAAGAAACTAGGACTAGAGGTCCCATTTGACCCAACTATTCCCCTTCTTAGTATCTTCCTAAAAGAATTAAGAGCATTGGGGCCGGGGATTTAGCTCAGTGGCGCAGCAGCTGCCTAGTAGTAGGCATGAGGTCCTGAGTTTGATTACTGGTACCAAAAAAAAAAAAAAAAGACATCATATCACCATGATATACACCCATGTTTACAGCACCAAGTTTGTACTAGCCAAATCTTGGCAACAGCCCAAATGCCTATCAACTGATGAAGAGATAGAGAAGATGTTGTTTTTTATACAATGAAGTACTACACTGCTATAAAGAAGGATAAGCTCAAAACATTTCTAGGTAATGGATGTACCTTGGGACCACACTCAAGTGAAATAAATCAGAAATACATGTAAATACCACATTATTTCTCTGCTATGAGAAACAGAAAGTGTAAATAAGGACCAAAATGTGTAAGAGGTATCGTGAAATAGGAACAAAATGTTCAAATGGAGAGAGAAACAAGGGATGGGGGAGGGGGAAAGAGGGAAAGTTAAAAAAAATGAGAAAAGTAAAAAATGGAAACAAAGCTTTTGTGAATGGGGAGGGAAGGACGGGTTGAAAGGAGGGTAGAGGAATGGGATAAAAAAAGTTATATCATGCACAGTTACAAATTCTCTATGATGAATGTGATTGTTATGTGTATCTAAAATGTACCAATAAAATCTGATAAAACCAAATATACAGACTTCTCACAATTTCAGGTGACAGAATTAGGATTTGTTTATACTACTGAATTGAACTCACAATGTAGATAACCTCTTGTTTTTTTGTACTAATTCATGTAACACAGTCCATCTTGTTGGGTGGCACTGTGGAAATACGTAATTCAGACATTTTTAGTAGAGTCACAGTTGTGCAACCATCACCAGTAAGCAATTCCTGAATACTTTTATCACCCCAAAGAGAAACCTAGAACCTATCTGCAGTCACTAAAAAAAAAAATCTCTAGAAAGAAAAATGATTTTTTTTTCACTCTAAACTGTTTTTAGGACAGAAAAAGTGGGCAAGGAGATTTAAGTGACATTTCTGGAAAATAGGTGACATCCATCATAAAAATCTTATTTAAGCTTCTCCAGAGTTTTTACAATAACCAAATGGAAAACAGAATGTTCCCACTTCAGAGCACTGGTACTCAACTGTACAGTACTTTAAATCAAGAAAGTCCTTCAAATACTTCTGCTTTAATGCCATCTTTGAAGAGTATGAAATTAGTAAATGAAGTTTTAATAGGCTATTTTAAATAAGCCCTTCAGATTCTGATTATCCAGAAATTTTGAGACTTTGTAATCTCAAAAGACCACAGAAAAGTTTCATTAGTATTCTATTTGGCACCAGAGTAAATAATTTGGAAATCTGAAATAATTTGTCAGTTATATAATAAAGAATGATTAAACACATACCTCCTCCATCAGCCTCTTTGATATCATCTTCTATAGCTTCGTCAATTGCTTCATCAAACTCATCAAATCTGAAACACACATAATGATCACATTAAAGCTGGTCTGGCATGTACGTATATATGTATTTACTTACCTACTTGGTGCTACTGTGGAGTGAACATAGGACCTTCACACTGAGCTATCCCAAGACTTCTTTTCTGAAATAGTCTTGCTCAGTCTCTGAAACTGCCCAGGACTCAAAACTCACAATCCTCCTTTTGTGCTGGGATGACAAATGTGTTATACCACACCCTGCACTGGGTCTTGGCTTTTGTATGTTTGTTTGTTTGAGACAGGGTCTCACTATGTAGTGCAGGCTGGCCGTGAACTCACTATGTAGCTCAGGCTGTCCTCAAACTCATGGAGATCCTCCTATGTCATATAAATTATATAAGCGATCCTCCTATCTCATATAAAATACAAGTTCTGGGATTATAGGTGTGCACCACTACACCTGGCTGGTTTTTTATTTTTAAAAATCAGCAAAATTCAAATCTTGAAACCTAACTACCAAAGCAATGGTATTAGGAAGTGGGGCCCTCAAGAATTAATGCTCTCATAAAAAGAGGGCAAAGAGAGACCTCATTTACTATGTGATGTTACAGTGACACGAGCCATACTGAGGAAAGGTACCAGAGCTGCCCTAGAGAGTCTCAATGCCTTTTCTACCCTGTGAACACAAAGCTGGAAGCACAATCTATAAATTTTTTCTGTTTATAAGCTATCCAGTTTGTGGTATTTTATGATAACCAAAATGGACTAAGTAGACTCAGAAGTTTTTTTTTTACACTGCTGGGGATTGAGCCCCGGGTCTCACATAAGTGAGGCTACTCTACCACTAAGTTATATCCCCAGCCCATCCAAAAACTTTTTAAAGGGACAGATTAAATATTTTTGGTTTTATAGATTATACAGTCTTTGCTGTAACTTTTGAGTAGGCCACTGTAATGGAGAAGCAGGCACAGACAGTATATAAAAATATGAGTATTGCTGTATTCCAATTTGAATTACACACAATTTTCATAAAATACTCTTTTCATTCTCTCTCTCACTTTCCCTCTTTGTGGTACTGGGGAATGGACCCAGGGCCTTTATATTGAGCTACAATCCCTGGCACCCCTCTTCCCTTTAGAGAGAGGGTCTGCCTAATCACTAAGTTGTCCGGCCTGTTATGGAATCTGCAATCTTCCTGTCACAGCCTCCCAAAATGGTGGGGATTACAGGAGTGTGTTGTTATGCCTGGTTATCATTATTATTTTGATTCTTTTTTCAATCACTTATAAATGTAAAACCCATTCTTAGGTCCCAGGTTGTACAAAACTAGCACTGAACTGGATTTGGTGTATGGCCCACCTCTACCTATACAAATCACATGGCAACATAAAATGAACAAACTTATGGTTCTATGAACAATACCGTTAGGATTAATTATTACTGCAATTCAAATATGTATTTTTGTTATTACTGAAGTTCATATACCAATGATCAAAACTGTACAACTAGTTAAATTTACTTCAAAGACTCGTTCTTCTGATTTAAAGGACAGGAACAAGACTAAATAATCCCTAAGATTTTCTTATACATAAGCTCCTTTCAGCTAGGCATGGTGGCACACACCTGTAATCTCAGCTACTCATATAACAGAGGCAGGAAGATTGCAAGTTCAAGGCCAGCATAGGCAATTTAGGGAGACCCCCATCTCAAAAAATAAATTTTAAAAAAGAAGAGGTCTGCAAGCTGTTCTACTAACAAGCTTAAAGTGATTTTAACAATCTTTTTTATTCCTACTTTGAGAAAACAGTTTTCCTGTCCTTTTAACTTTGATTACTAAGTAGAGCTAAGTATTATTTATTGCTCATTTTTCCCTTTTCTTTTATAGAGTACCAGTGTCCTTTGCTCAGTTTTTAAGCTACTGTGTTCATCTTTATTTACAAATATATAAAATTTTTCTATATTAAAGACTGTAACATCTTGGCCTTCACAAATTGTTTTGTTCTAAGAAAGGAAAACTGATATCTTGTCCTGCTACCTTTATAAGTGTGCTACCACATCACTGGTGGAGCCCCTTTACTACCCTCTAGTGAACAAAAGCTGTGTCTGGTTCTAGTCTTTAAAATAAATGAAAACGTACTTTGGCTTAACATATTTGCTTAATAGATTCCATAACAACTACAACAGAGCTATCCTTATCCTCAGCAATAGTATTGCCTGAATATATGCAAGAAGTCCTTCCAGTCATTATATGACAAAAAGAGATTATATTTCACCATGGAAAAAAACTACATTCACTGCATTTTATTAAGTTGAAAAGTCATTCCTGGGGGCTGGGGATTTAGCTCAGCAGCACAGCACAGCACCTGCCTGGCCAGCACAAGGTCGTGAGTTCGATTCTCGGTACCGGGAAAAAAAGAAAGAAAAAAGAAAAGCCATTCCCTTGAAATTCTAAATACTCTCTACACATTTTCCTTTGTAAATGCTCTTGTTTTGAGTCTTTTTTAGTTTTTAACTTTTATGTAATCAAGTATTTTTTTCCATGACTGTTTCTGATTTTGGTATTATGCATCAAGTTACTCCTTATGTAAGGTTATATGCCTTCCTTAAATCTTTTTGAGTAGTAGGTAGAGTATGAAAAATGCACTACAAAATACACTTTATGCTTAAAAGTTTTTACTGTAGCTTCCTATGTTAACATTATATAACTTCAGAGCTGAAAGGAATTGTCTGATAATCCATCATCACACACGAGGCAACCAAGAAAGGAAACATGAATCACTACTCAGAGACACATGCCAGTAAGTGTACAGTGAAGATTATTCTCTTCATCTTTTGATCCTCAATCTAATGCTCCTGCTAGTTAAGAATCAGATAAACAATTACTAACCAATAGTGACGAGCTTCTTAATAAAATCTGTGCTTTTCTATCCACAATTACATCAGGCCTGCAGGACAACATAATCATTTCTGCTATAATGCTTGTTTTGAAAATGCAAATTTGTTCAGTGTGACTGATATAAAACAATTCAAGCATAATGTGTTCTATTACAGTAGCTAATGTACTGTCTGATTTGTGAGAAACAGTAGGTGAATACAAAAAACTGCACCTAGCAGAACAGCGCTGCAGAGGAATACACAAAATACATACACTTACAACATTTCTGCTTGATTTCGGACAATACTTCTTTTGCCCCATCATAATTTATGAAGTATAACCCTCCAGTTCTACAAACTTTTTGCAAAGCTAAATGACACATTTATTGTAGTATTTATGTATCTCAATTAATTTATATGACAAATATCACTCTCATTTTTATTAGGTTCATACCCTTTTAAAATTTTTATCCACTTTGTTTTTTTATTTGTTTGCTTGTTTGTTTTTAAGAAAAGGTCTCATGATATACTTTAGGCTGGTCTTGAACTTACTATGTAGCCCAGGCTGGCCTCCAACTCACAGTGATCCTCATGCCTCAGCCTCCTGAGTGCTGGGATTACAGATGTGTACCAATTGTCTTCCTTTTTTAATAATAAGCAGTTTATCATTTGAGTGAGACAGTGTGATTTAGTGGAAAGAACATTACATGAAACAATCAAATGACAGGCTAAGCTACTAGCAGAGTGATAATGGAAAAAGTATCTCCTTTTGGTATCTGTGGCAGCGAAAGGAAACCAGATTACATTTGTTAATTCTTTTACTATGTATTTAAGCACTTATTATTTGTCAATACTATGCTAGGCATAAGGTATACAAGGATGTGTAATACAGACATGGTCTTTACCTTTTATACTAACAGTCTATGGGGGAGAGAAACAATAATGAAATCATTTTAATCACATGAGATAAATGCAAGTGCTTACAGAGAGAAGAACTGGTTGGTATGAGGGTACATATAAGTGAGATTTGATCTAACAAAGGTTATAAAGTAAAAATGAGATGAAAATTGCAGACAAAGCAAACAACACATGCAGAGACTACAAGATGACAGTGTAGTGAATATACAAGGGTGAGGAAATAGGTGGATGAGACGGAGCTGGAAAATACGTAGAGACCAGACAACGCAGTGCATTGCAGACCTTTTCTTCTCTCTGGGACAAGATCTCTCTATCTAGTTCAGGCTGGCCTTGGACTAGCCTCAAGCTTGTGGCAGTCCTCTCTCGCCCTGGCCTGACGATATTTATGTTTGGAAAAGACAACTGCTCCAAAACTCTGTGACTCTAAAGATGAAAGGTAATAAATATATAGATGGTCCTTTTTTTTTTTTTTGGTTTTTCTCCGGTACCGCGAATAGATGGTCCTTTTACCCAAATGTTCTGCATCTATGGATTGTACTAACTGCTGACTGAAAATACCAGGGAGAAATTTGTACCTATAGTGAATACACATTTTTTCCCTGTCATCATTCCTTAAACAATACAGTAAAACAACCACCTAACACATTTACATTGCACTAGGTATTATAAGTGATCTAGAGGCAGTTAAAATAGAAGATGTGATGGTTGTATGTGGGTACTCTATTTTTATACAAGGGATTCGAGTGTCTGCACATTTTGGTGTCCTTGGGAATCTTGGGTTGTTTTCTTCTTTGCAGTGCTAAGGATCAAATACATGCTCTACCACTGAATTACATTCTCAACCCCTGGTCCTAGAATCAATTCCCTGCAGATACCAAGGGACAGCATACATACAACTACTAATAATCACTGTGAAGGGATAACAGAATTCTTTTGGGTCATGCTAACTGCAAAAATATTTTACACTCTTTGATTACAGCCATTTCCATATATTTCATACCTGTAGCTTATACATTTCCGTGTTCTTGTTGACCTTCTTTCAAGCAAGTTTGCTTTAGATTTTTTTGAATCTTTTTTCTTTTCTTCTTGATCTTCAGAAAAATCTGGTTCCTTTAAAAATATAGTAAGTGTATAGATATGACAGAATAAAGTTTCTTGGAATTAATAGTCCTGTAATCTCTATCTAGCCATCAATGTTAAAGGTTTAAAAAAGTTTGAGATTACCCTCCCCAAACTGAATACATATGGGAATAGTCATTATTATACGGACTACAAAAGGGATACTTGTGATCAAAGGAATAAACACATCTGTATTCAAATTCTTATATTACTATGAGATTATAATTGCCTCTTTAAAAGTGACCATAATGAATTTTTCTCACTGATAAAACTTTTTAACCAATAACTAAACATGATACACGTAAGATATTCAATATGTATACTTAGTGAATGAAATAACTAATTTGAAAGAAAGGTAATTATGCTGAAGGAAATAACATAATAAGCTATTTAAGCCTGTGATTTAACTGATTAAATAAGCCTGAACAAAACTTTATGAAGAAAACATCTTCACTTTAAGCGAGAAACTATGATCCATGTATTTTCACTCACAAGTACCCTTCTTAATTATAGACTCAAAAATGCAAAACAACAGTAATCCTTCAAACTATGAGTAGGAATACAAATTAAAATTTCAATTACTCCTAAAGCAGAAAATTAAAAAGTCAGATCTTCCTCAACTATTCTTTAATCATTTTATATAAACTGCCAGGCATGGTGGTACACACCAGCCTGGCCTACACAATGAGTTTAAGGCCAGCCTGAACTATAAAATGAGACTTGGTCTCAAACAAACAAACAAACGAACTAATTTTACATACATAACATACAAAAGCTAAACACGAGACTACCCAAATTAGGCTAAAAAGTAATGGAACATATACTCCAAAGGAATGAGCTATAAATTTAGTTTGGATGTAGTATCGCACTTTTAGGTGATCTGTATACACACAATATCAATCCTGAAGGACTACGGCAAGCTCACTAAGGTCTTAAACCTTCAATTTTAATAAAACAGGTATACATTTAAAACTAATCACACTACATAAGGTAAGCTAAATCTTAGAATAATCATAGCAGTCTTTATAAATACCATAAACCAGAAACTTACTTGTGGAGGAATGATGTTTTCAATACTGATACCCACATATACCAAGCGTTCTTTCCTTTAAGTAAAAGAATAAAGACACACAGAGTAAGATTTGTTAAAAATAAAATTGCTACAAAAATATCAGTAATGCATAAAATAATCAAATTCAATTTCATGGTACTCAAAGACTAAGTCATAAAAATATTAGCTATTATTTATAAAACATACAGTATTAGTATTTGTGGAAAGTACTAAATTTTCTAAAGAAATGGACACGAATTTTTTTAAACTGACTTATACCAGTGAAATAAAACCTTCAACCAACAGACAAGGAAGCTTTATGTAAAGTCCATGTTGTAAATTTTTTTTTCAGTACTGGGGACTGAACCTAGGGTATCTTAGTTATTTTTCTTGTTGCTGAGACAAAATACCCTACACTCAAAAGTTAAAGAAGGAAATGTTTATTGTGTCTCAGTATGTAGAGGTTTCAGCTCATAATCGGCTGGCTCCAGGGCAGGGTGGCATCACAAAGGAGAAACAGTTGATGGCAGGCATAAAACAGCAAGCAGCAAGGTAGCAAAGCAGCAAACAATCACACCAGCCCTCTTTCTGTCCCTTACATTCTATCCACTCACACCCAGAATGGACATTTCCATTATCCACACCCAGAACTATGCCAAACCAATCAGAGGACTAATTCAGTAATCACACACACAACCCCAGCATCACACTCTAGATTCAGCCACCTCTAAAGAGCACCACCTGTGACTGTGTAAGCCTTTGGGAGTATCTTTAGATACAAGCCATAACATAGGGCTATATCTCCTATCCTTTTCTAATTTTTTATTTTTGAAATAGGGTCTTGCTAAGTTGTTAAACTGAACAGGCTATGCTTGAACTGATAATTGATCCTCCCACCTCAGCCACCCAGAGTGCTAGGAATACAAGCATGTGCCACCACATGTAACTGTCCTGATGTAATTTGATTATATTACTAGATGGAAAACCAGCTTTGATTGAATACACTAGTTTTTTTTAAATGTTAGAATACCTTTTAATAGTGTGTATATATAAACACAATCATAATCTTAATCTTATAATAAATACCACCATAGAAAAGAATTGTGCATAACAAAACCTGTTCAAGGTCCCAGTAAATGACAAAAAGACCACTCATTTCTTGATATAAAGATAAGCAATTCAGAGATATGGCTCTACATTCTACGACAATGAAGGAATCTTTAAAGCTAGAAAGTGAGGATCTGAAGAACCAATGACACTTCCATGGATTCATTTCCAAAAAACCGACCTTTATGATTTTAGTTCGACAAATCTTACATAATGCTACATACTGCAAGAGCTTTCTCTCACTTTTGCAAGATTAATCCAATACAATAAAGACAGCTGAATTCTGACATGCAGGATATGTTAAAATGAAATAACATAGTAACAACTATTCTTCCCTTTACTTGTAATATCCTTCTGGAGGGAAATTAATGCATCTACTTGTCTTAAATCCTTTTAGACCACAGCCTTTACTCCCCTAATGTGTTAGCATTCCAGAACAGTGACAAAATGCCTGGGAGAAACAATTTAAAGGGAAGGTTTACTTTGTGCAGTTTCAGAAGTGTGAGTCCATGGTTCATTCCACTGCTTTTGGGTCTATGATGAGGAAGAAACACCTTGGTGAAAAAGCAAGGCAGAAAAGAACTGCTGACCTCAATGGGCTGTGAATTCATGAGTGGATTAATAACCTCGAATGAGCTATTAGGAGTTGGGGGCGAGGTGCAGCACACAGGTTACTGGAGTTGTACCTTTGAAGAGTCTATCTTGCCCCTTCTTCTCTGGCTTTTTCTCTTTCTTGGATTCTAAGCTGCCATGAGGTAAAGCGCTTTGCTCTACCACACCCTTCCACCATAATGCTCAGACTTATCTCAGGCCCAGTGGACCATGGACTGAAACCTCTGAAATCTAACACACCTATAAATCACTGACTTAACAAGAATGCCATAGATAGCCTGGTTATAAAACTATTAAAGAAAAACTGTCATGTATGAAAGTGATAAATTAAATTTAATAAAAACTTAATGAAAAGTAGGAAACTACTTGGAAGAACTAGTCCAAGGAAGCCTTCATGGCTTGAACTACTTCTTATTAACTATGTGTGATACATATAATTAAAAATGTGTTTGAAAAATATGCTGAATGTTTAAATTAAAACACACACACTGCCATAAATCCCTCTCAAAATACTCCTTGTCCCTAAGAGCACATTTATCCTAACATTCTTGCCACTTTCTCAAAGTCTTCTTTTGTAAATGTCTTTAATTGTACTGTTGTGATTGACTGGATGTCCTAAATGGACTCAAACCATGTACCTTTCAAGGTCACTTTGATTTCAAGAAATAGCCGTAAGTTTCATGGTACCACATCCAGTGGATAAGGTGGATGAGGACATACCTTAATGTTTTTACAAGCCTGCCTTTTCCATTGGATGTGGCAGAACGCAGCAGCATTCACCCGTTTTCATCACACTTCTTAAAGACACTTAGAAAAAAGAACTTCCAGGGGCTGAGGATATAGCTCAGTGGCATATGCACCTGCCTGGCAAGCGCAAGGTCTTGAGTTTGATACCCGGTACCGCAAAAAAAAAAGAAAAAAGAACTTCCAGAACTGCTTCAGAAAGGTGGGGAAACAATGGGTTAAGTGTGTTTGAGAAGACTGGAATATTTTTAAAGGGATTAATGGCAATGTGTCTTTTACTGTAATGCATTTTTAAAAATTTAAACATTCACTATATATTTTGTTTACTCCCAGTACCTGTCCTTAAAATAACTATATTTACTGAGATAGCAACTTTTTTCTTTATATCTTTAAATCTCTATTTTCATTTGGCAAATATTTCTTTCCTCAGTTTAACTGAAAAACACTTTTCACATGTACCACATTAGGCCAAGATGAGGAATTCATAGGTAAATATGATACAGCTGCTTCCCTCACAATCATTTAACAAGTGACTACAGACCATTACGAACAAGGACAATGGAAACATGGAACAGATATAGATTAATTTTGTCTGAAGAGCTGAGAAAGCTTTAAGCAGGTGGTGACAGTTGAGCAGGATCTTGAAGGTGTTTCTCTTCATATGATTCTGTTGTTCAGTAATGTCAGGGAAAGATAGGTCTTCTATTCAATCTCACTACCTAGGTAAATTATCATATTTGAACCAGACATTATCATTACCAATAACCACATTCTTTCCAAAATTTTAATTGCAGGCATCCTGTTCACTGATTTCTACAAGCTCAATTTCCAGTTCATTCTACTTTGTACTGATTCCAACAATCCCTTGACTCCGGCAGGACGTCTATTCCCTGGCACTACCTTCTCCTGAACACTATCCATCACTCTCCTCATGTGCTTCTTTCCCCTTCCCTGGCTTACACTCCATGGCCATTATTATAAAAACTCTTTTTGCACACACTTTCAAATTCCTTGTGCTTCTCTTTCCCTTTGTTAAATTATCTGGAAAATTTCAAGCCTGATTAAATCCAACTCTCTGCCAGTAAAGTACTACTAGTACTAGATCCATCTGGAGCTATTTGAATTCCCAAACAATCCCTGGTACCATGCTCTGGAGAGGATGTTTATAAATCATTGAGTAGAATTCTAAAACATTAGATTTCACACAGTATTGCAACTCCCGATCTGCATATAGTTGCTGGCTAGTCATAAAATACTCTGACACATTCCTCTTCCCACTGGACTGTACAGCTCTTTGAGGTGATCACTGTTATAGTTTGTGTCTAGATGTCCCCTCAAAGCCTCATGCAGTCATGGAGCAGGCTTCTACAGTTTTTGATTAATTTGTGGTTCAATGCTGGGATTATGGGTGTGAGTGCTACTGGGGCAGGTAGCTTGCACATAAGGGAGGGAAAGAGGCTTGCTCTGCTGCTCCTCCCTTTTTGCTCTTGTTGTTGCTTTTACTGTCTTCTGCCATCATGAACTGCCCTCTACCATGTGCCATTCTGCCTTAGAGCCAGCTGGGTATGGACTGAAACCTCCACAAACTATGAGCTAAACAAACCTTTCCTTCCTTAATTTTCAGCATCACAAACTATGAGCTAAATAAACCTTTCCTTCCTTAATTTTCACCATCTTGTCTCAGCAATGAGAGAAAAGTAACCGAGATCATCACATTATATATGCCCTCATCTTGAATGCACTGCTTTTCACCTAAAAGAGCTCTACAGTCTCGTGCAGTGATGGCCAACCTTTTAGAACTTTCAATGATAAGAAACAACCAGCTGCGGCATGCATGCCATATGTATACCACCTCTGGTATAGTGGGAAAGAAACCTAATAAAAACTAAATGCAAAAAAAGGAAAAAAACTGAAAATAAGGGGAAAGATGTTCTTGTATTATGAACATAAAGTAAAGTTCCAAGCTGCTAGGATGAGTAGTAGTGAAGTTATTTCACAGATTTTTAAAAGAATGAATGACAATACACATGTAAAAAATACATGAAACCACTTATAGTTAATATATATTTATTTTAGAAACACCTATTTTACTATTTGGCAATCCTGAAATTCATTACCTATACCTATACCCATACCCATACCCATACCCATACCCGTCACTGCCCCTGCCCATGCTCCTGCCCATGCCCATACCCATACCTATCTCTTAGGAGCTATAGTAACCAGAGCTTTGTTAACCAGATTGAGAACGGCAAACACCAGAGAGACAGTTAAATCTTGTTCACATGGGTCTTCATACAATAGTAACTTTGTTCTCCATTCTGTGACACAATCTCAGCTCAGTACGTGATCTAAAACCACGATTACACATCTCTTTTTAGAAAGGATGACACTGGCCAGGCATGGTGGCTCACACCTGTAATCCCAGCATTTGGGAGGCTGAGGCAGGAGGATCCTTGTGGGTTTGAAGCCAGCCTGGGCTACAAAGTGAGCTCAAGATCAGCCTGAACTGCATAGCAAGACCATCTCAAAAAGACCAAAAAAAAAAGACATTTGAATAAAAAAGATTACCAATACTTTTGCAACATCCCAGCTCTAATTTCTTCTCTCCTACTAGAGAAAGCAGAAGAATACTTCTCAATTTCTAAGGATTGAAAGATTTAAAAAGAAAAAGATGGAGGCAAAGGAAAAATCAAATGATTATTTCAGATTAATTTGAAGCATCTTTGTTAGATATTTTTATTTTATCAAAAATAAAAATGGGAGAAACCCAGCACATCATAATAGTTCTAATAAGCAGGGTGTGGCTGTGCATGCCTGTAATCCCAGCATTTGGGAGGTGGAGGCAGAAGGATCAGTGAGTTTAAGGCCAGCCTGGGCTACACAGTGAATTCAAGGCCAGCCTGAACTGCACAGCAACACCCTGCTTCAAAAAACAAAACAAACAAGTTCTGGAGGTGGCAATTACTAAAGATCACTTTTGCATGGGGCAAAATGAGTACAGAATTAGCTTAATTCTTAAAGACAAACTAAATTTTGGGATGCACACCCTGAGTCAAAGGATACAAGTCAAAAGAGTAGCAAATGAAGGCAATAAAACCAATCAGGAGGCATCACTTAAAGATTTTCTCATACTAGAGTACATATGGATATTAGCACCATTAATCCCAATACTTTGGGAGGCTGAGGCAGGAGGATCCAAGTTAAAGCCCAGTTTGGGTAACTGAACAAGACTGTCTCAAAATAAAAAAATGGCTGGAAATGTCGCTCAGCATGAAGGTCCTATGTTCAATTTACAGTACTTTAAAAACACACACCCACGCACACACACAAAACCACTCAAAAAACAAAACAAAACAAATGTTAAGTCCTACAGATTAATCCCCTGAAAATCATCTCTAACACATCCACCTTACTATAATGAAGACTGCCCTAGTGCAGGTCTCACACTGGGTCTTACACGGTATATTGCCAGCATCCCAACTGTAACTCCTTTTTCTATTAATAAAGCTTTTTTAATAAAATAAATATAATCCCTCCTTTGATGGCTCCCTAAGTGCTTATAGAGAATAACTCAAATTTCATAGTCAGGCGTGCAAAGCTACCTGCAATTTAGACTTGCTCAGCTTTTATAGAGGTTTAAACTGTACTATTTTCCTATCCTCAATTTTACACTCTGCCTTTGCTTGTGTCTGTGCTCACTGCCTGAAGTATCTCTTCTCTACATGTCCACAGGCCCTAACTTTATCTTCCAGTTTCCTGAAAACCCCAGCTCCTAGGAATACTTATATGGTCCTCTACAATGTCCTTGTATTGTTTTGAACATACTTTAATTTTTCTTTTTTACCATATCATTGGTTCATGCATCTGGATTTTTTCATACAAGTTTCATATAAGCAAGAGCTTTGTCTTTTTCATCTTTTCAATTTGGTATAGTACGTGTAAATAATATGTAGAAATAGACTAAATATTAGCTGGGTGTAATGGCACATGCCTGTAGTCCCAGCACTTCGAAGGTTGAGGCAGGAGGATTGCTGTAAGTTCAAAGCCAGTCAGGGCTACACAGTGAGACCTGTCTCAGGGGAAGAAAGGAAGGGAGAGAGGCAGGTTTGTCGGGAGGGAAGGAGGGAGGAAGATAAATTTACCATCTTGACTCTGAACTCTTTTTTAAATTTGACTAAAGTTCAGTCTTGCCTCCTGTAAGAAGCCTTATTCAACTGCTGCAGGCCACACTGTAGTGGCATAATGAAATGGCAGCATCTCACATAGCCACTGGACACAGTTCAGCAATTAAATAGTCTTTGTTTACCAGTGTTAACATTGCCCATGCAAAGAGATGACCTAAGTAACTTTGAGACTGATTCTTACAGTTTTCTTATGCTCATTATGGCAGTTAAGTACAAAATCTCTACAATACTTGGGCTACCATTTATACACAGTAGGTAATGAAAATTACTCACAGACTGACAAACTCAAGCTACCACTCACGATATACAAACACATGGACAAAACTGTGTTCTAATAAAACTTTAGTTTGAGCAATGAAATCCGAATATCAATTCTCAACGTGTCATGAAACATGATTGTAACAGTTTGATTTTTCCCAACCATTTAATATCACAAAACCATTCTCAGTAGGCAGTATAAAAACAAGAAGCAGGCCAGATTTGCTCCTCACTCTGCATTTTGCCAATTCCTGCTTCAGACAGACACATTCATCTATATTGCAAGACAATTCTACCGAATTCCTAAGCAAAACATTAGCACACACACAAATACCTGCGTTCAGCACGCTCCTTTTTCTTTAAGGCAACATCCAAATCTTGCAACTGTTCCTCTAATTTTTCACACAGCAGCTTCTGAAGGAACAAAATGCATGTCATTTTACATACTTTTTCACAGTAATTTATCACATACATACTAAGCTTGTAGATACTGTATTGTAAGAGCTGACAAAGGGCCACATAATGAATGAGTGTTGAAGCCTGTGTTTAAAGAGGTGCTTTGGTGAAGAGAAAATGAGCATAGAGAAACACACATTAGAGAAATGCATATAGCATTCAGGGGGCATATTCTGTGCCTATCCCACTAGTAATAGTCTATATTTAAAACAGCATTTGTAACCATACACGGTGGCGCACACCTGTAATCCCAGCACTCTGGGAGGCGGAGGCAGAAAGATCACAGTTTAAGCACAGTCTATGCAACTTAGCAAAACCCTGTCTCAAAATTTAAAAAAGGAGTTGGGGATGTAGCTCAGTGTAAAGACCTTGGGTTCAATCCTCAGTATCAAAATAAACTTGTAAAAATAGCATTTGATTCAACCATACACAAAATAATGTTTATAATTAAAAAGATTCAAGACATTTGAAGGAAGAATATTATGTATATAATATACAGAAGTGTCAATAACTAGATTTTTAAAAAATAGATTGTGAAAAATGTACAAAACAATGCCATGATTACTGCATCAAAACAGACCTTGAAAAATATATTTAGCAAAGCTATGTGAAGCCTCAGAAGTACGTACAGGTCACTGAGAAATGTAACACCCATCACTTTAAAAGTACAGTGAGTGTGGGCTGGGCAGACAAAGTACCTAAACGCACAGAAATACCCTATTCTTCCATCTCAAAAGAAATTCATCTGAATCATAAAGAAGCAAACCATGTTTCTTCTAATCCTGATGCTATCAATAAAGCTGACAAAAAGGTAGACAGAAATGAAAAAGAGGGTGAGAGAACAAAGAAACTACAGACATTTATTTCCTCTCCTGTATGTATCTACATTTAGTGCTTGGCATGCACATGACAAATGTGAGAACGAAATTCATGACAATTTTACAAAAGTTGGAAGACTTCTGAGAATTGCTTTGGAAAAAGCAAAAAGAAGACCTAAACGATATTAATGAAAGATATTAATGAAAGGTGGACATCTAAACAAGAGGCAACACTTTGAAAACAGAAGATATTTAGTGGCTATCAAAAAGTATTAGTAATTCAGACATGAAACCAAGGGCTGGGCTGGGTCATACATGTTGGCAAGGGGGGCAAAACCATTCTCCATCAGGGATGATCATCAGAGGAGGGCGGAGGCAGGCGGTATGGTATCCACTGTCACAAGAATCACACAGAAGAATCTGAAATAAACCACATTAAGGTCAACCTAACTCTATGACTAAATCACATGACTCTTATTTTAAGAGAGTGACATTTCAGTATTTCTTAATACTCTACTCCAAAGTATTCTTTATGTGCATAAAGGTAGTCAATAAAAAAGCTCCGATAATTAAGGGTCTGACATGACAATTTTAAAAAAATTTAAAAACACCCCCTACCCTCCAAAAACTAAGGACATGTAAAGGTACAAAATTGAGTGAAAAATTGCAAGTCCTTTCTGAACAAGACTTAGAATCACTTTAGTGTGTGTCATAAGGGTGATAACAGCACAATTGATATAACGAAGTTTTAAAGTTCCAGTATCAGAAACTAATCCACATATAGAATTTTAAAAATACAAAAATACTAATAGCATTTCAAATACCTATCTATAAGAAACCTTCATAGTTCCTTTTAGCATACAAATTCAAGTGAAGGACTGAGATATAGAAAAGAACTGGCACTAATATTCAGATCCGTACATTCAAATATAATGACTACTATTAGTAACAATTGGTCTTACAGTTGATCTTTTATTGCTGCTTGAGTTTTAAGATGACCAACTCTCTAAAACTTAACATGGTACATTCATAAATATTTAACTGAAAAACCATTTAATTTTTAAACAATTTGAGATTTATACAACAGTTGCAGTTCCCATATACCCTTCCCTCAGCTTTCACCAAGGTTAAAACCTTATAAACCACAAAAGAGCCACCAAAACAAATTAAAATCAGTATAACAGCAGATTTTACAGGTTTTCCCACTAGTTGTGCTTTTTCTGATTCTGAATCTGGGATTCCTACACTGGATTTAGTCATTTCTCCCGCCTCTCCTATCTGTAAAGTCTTTCCCTCTGTTTGCCATGCTTTTGATAGTCGGAAGAATGCTAATCCAGTATCTTATAGGCTGTCACTGAATTTGCGTTTGTTTAAAGTTTTCTCAGGATTAGACTGGAGTTATAGGCTTTGGACATAATTAAATCACTATAGTAATTAGTAAAGTATTATACAAATATTTTGGAGGAAGGCATGATAAGCTATGCAAACATCCTGTCTCTATTTAATTTGTTGTTGGAATTGTACAACCATGGGTACAAAGGACGCTCCTTCATATTGGTTCTGTATAATCTTCCAAGGAGGATTTATCTGTTTGCTTCCTTATATGTGTTTGTTTACTTTAAAGTACTTCCTTTCTGGCACTACAGAATGTTCCAGGCACATCTTATATTTTCCCTGTCCAAGCCTTAGAATGTTCCAAAATGCTCTGGTTCTTTTATTGGAAAAATACTATTTAGAAACCAAGGTCTGGGTGGTCTGAATGTTCACCATTATTAGATATCACTAACGTTAAGCTCTTTCAAGAGGACAGGTTCACGAATGTTTTTATTTTGTAAAACACCAAAGTGTTTGGCAAAATTTTGCTTCCATTTGCAAACTCAACAGGTGACAAACACAACCATGGCCATCTTCCCCACACAAACACAAACACAGGCATCTTCCCCCAAATCATAAAAGAAATTAAGTTTACAAACCAAGGTACCAGTGTGTGTGTGTGTGTGTGCATGCATGCGTGTGTTCTATGTACATATTAAAATATGCATGAGCTCATCCTAATACTTCCAGCTCTAATACATTCTACTGTTAGTTTTGCTAAAAATGAGGACTCTTGTCTATTAGGTACATTTTATTTGCTTAACCTTAGTATACATGTAGTTTCTAAAATTCTAACTCAAGCCATAGGGGAGAAAAGGTTAAAAGTGGAAAACTACCTTCTTCCCTCTCCATACAATGCACTACCATTTGATCACTATGTTCAAAATTTAGTAGCAAGTTCTATTAGTGTTGTACATTAATTATATGATTGGTTCCACAGGCATATGTTAGATAGGCACCCAATTCCATTTATCACATTGTTTTTATAGTAAAACGTATGCTAAATTTTAAAATAATATAAATTACAAATCACCTCATTTCTAAAATACTGTCCCTACTCCACAACACAATAAAGACAAATCGTCCCTAAATAACTACCATGTAAGATATTTAGGCCTAAGACATAGATCTACTTATTCTGACTAAAGCATCTGACAAGTGCTGTAGAGTTTTACATTACTTAGGAATTTACTGCTTTTCAGCTATAAGCTCATAAGGACAAGGACCATTTATTTCTGGCTCAGCATCTTATCCCTACCACTTAGCACGTACCAGCTGCTTCTTACTTTGTTTTGCAGATTATCCTTAAGCACCTGACATGAGAAATCTATCACATTTGGAGATCTTCAGTTTCTCTTTTTTTCAAATTTTTTATTTTCATTAGTACATGTTTGCCATACAGAGATCTTCAGCATCTAATGTCTTCTCCTTGACAAAGTAAGCAATAATAGGATTTTCCACATGGTAATTAAGTAAATACAAATCCTGTGTTTGCTCTCAGAAGGGGACAACTCTGTCCCCCTTATTCCTTCTCACTCCATTTAACTTTTGTCCTTTGTCCTTTCACACTCTGTCACAGACAGCTATTTCTACCTTAGGTAAAAAGAACACTTTTTGCTTACAAGCATATTAGAACATGTAAGTAAAGAAAACAAAAGCATTGCTTATTCTCCGATTTAGAAGGTAGAAAAGGCTATCTCAAACTTTCTCTTGATCTTGCTGCATAGAAATTTGAACGTTCACTGCTCTGATGATCAAAAAATGCTCAGAACTGTCTTATGAGCATAATTTCAGTATCTGCTCTTCAGAGCTAAAGTCATTTCCAACTTATATCTATCACTTGAAACTTCACAATCTACAGGGCTATGATAAAATTCACTGATTAGTTTCTAGAAATGTCACAGTAAACCAGAATTAACTTTTAACCCAGCATATAAGAGATTTAGGAATTTTGCTAGGTAACTTTACATAAATTTTTTAAAAATATCACTCTCAAACATGTGGTACCAGTTTGATTTTACAATAAAGACATCAAAATACAGAGAAGATAGCACCTGCTAAGTGGTGGAAGGAGGATCTGAACCAGGTTGTCTGGCCCCATGCTGTTCCCATCATATCACACTGCTTTCCAGGAAAATAGAGCGTAGAGGACTCTCTCTTGTCTGTGTTTAAAACTTCAGATCAGTGATTGGAACCTTTTAGCACTTTCAATGATAACAAACAGTCTGCTGTGGCACACATGCCACAGGTTTTCTATCACTGCTTTAGAAGATCCCACAACACTTCTGCTCCACATATTCCATGCAGCAGAATCACTCTTTACTTGTTTCTATTTAATAGTGGCAGCTTGTCTTTAAACTTAAATATATTCAAAAGAATAGCAGAGTTACACAGAATCAGAAACAGTAACAGTGAACAGACTTACTAAGAACTGTACAAAGTACACATAGGTTAGGACCTCGTTCTCCGAATGTAGGCCACCTTTGAAGAGCTTACTCACTGGGTAAGAAAACACCATATAAATCTGGTGCTATTCTGAATATATCTGGTTTACAAGTTATTTTTTGAAAGTTTTTTTACAACCATCCATTTAAAAAAAATTAAAGTCCTCCTAGGTTACCACTTGATTTATGTTTTTATAGGAAAGCAATAAAGCCTTCAACTCTAACTTACTTAAAACTGGTATTTCAAAAATATAACTTAAAAGGAAAGAAAAAAAATTCAAAGAAAAAGGACACGTTTTTTGTTCTGTTGTTCTTCTTTCTCCTTAACAGTACTAGGGACTGGGCCCAGGGGCATTATACTCCTGAGCTACATCTCCAGCCCTTCTTTATTTTTCCCTTTGAGACAGGGTGCTAAATTGCCCAAGCTGGCTTCAAACTTGTGATTCTTCTGCATCACCTTCTAGACTAGCTAGGATTATAGGCATGTGCCACTGTGCCCGGCCAGGATAGAAATATCTGAATAAACTCACTGAAATATGAGATGAGATCAGAGATGCAATGCTATTAAGTAGAGAAAATACCAATATATATGCCAGTAGAATGAAAGTGAGAGTCTGATCCTTGTCCTTCATCAAACTGGGTTGTTATTTGAGAAAAAGAAATAAGGTTACTTTGTAGAATACAAGCTCAGTAATATTTTTTAAAAATTTTTTCCTAACAAATTATGCTAAAACTCAGAAGAATTGGGCTGCACCAATTAACCGCAACATACTTGTAATACAAATATTGCTCATTTAGATCCAGTACGTACTAGTTCAGGATGGTTTGGAAGGCCACATTTTTTGCAGGGTTCATCATCATCTGCTAAGATGGCATCTTCACTTTCCTTTTCTTCTTCTTCTTCTGAAGCTGCAGATGACTTTTCACTGTCAGAGACTTCACTTTCATCATTGCTGGAATATTTCCATTTGCCACGTGTTCGAGAACCAGTCCATCGAACTTTGCCTTTGGGTTTTACCTTGTAAAAAATAAAATTAAGATAATTTGATATGATAAAATTTTCTTAAAAACCTCTGATTAATTCACTTGTGAACTACTCAGTTAATATACAAAGAAAAAATTATTATCATTCTCATTGGCAGATACACCTACTATTATATTATGGTATACATTTCCATTATTTTGGGGGTTTTCAAAAATGGAACTAAAATGACTACTATCTTATAAACAAATATTTTTCCTCTTCAGAAAATATTTTCCTAACATCATTATAAGTGACTGTATAATATGCTATCAGGTGACTGTATTAATCTAATCCCCTCTTAGACATTTAGGTAGTTGTTTCCCATTTTTTCACTTTCATAAACAATGTATACTTGTAAATATAAATTTTTACAAATACTTTTGTGGTTAGGATAAATTCCTCGAAGAGGATTCTGGGTCAAAGGCCATGCACATCTTAAAGGCTATATCAATAACAAATAGATGACTACATATTCACTGTTTAATTTAAAGCCTATATGAGAAATGAACCTAAAAATTTTAAGTGGGTCAGAGCAGGATATAAAAATCTTGACAAACTTGAATAAGTCTGCAATGCTGTGAATAGCTTTTTATTACCTACTTTTGCAATCTTTTAACTTGTATTTCATGTCAGTCTCTCACTATAGTCTATAGTTTTCCAGCTAACAAGAAAATAATTCTAAGAGGAAAGAAAAAATTTCTTTAAGTACACAATTAAAAGTGTAGTACTTCAGGGAACAAAGGATCACTTAACAATGAAGAAAAATCCGATCATTTAAAGAAATTAAAAGCAAAAGTAGCATTCCTATTTATAATGAAATCCAACAGACTAGTCAATGACTTTCTCTTTGGTGTCTTAAAACGGGTCTAGTTTAGCAGTGCAGGCTGGCCTTGAACTCACTATGTAGTCTATAGCCAACAACTTTAAAAAAAAATTTTTTTTAAATAAGAGTATCACATAAAAAGAGGATTCTGGCTTTTATGAGTAACAATTACAACGGGGGAAAACAAGGCGTCCTCATATAGTGAGATGAGATGGTACATTTACAGGGCCTTTTTGGAGGGCAATGTGGCAACAGTTATCAGAAATTATCCTACACAGGCCCCTTGACCCAGCAATTCCAATTCTAGGAGTCTATTCTAAAGAAATACTCACTCATGTCCAAAAGGATCTTCAATGCAGCATTGCCTGTAATAGTGAAAAATTGGAAACAACCTAAATGTCAATTAATAAGGTTAAAAAACTGAGGTATAGCCACACTATGAAATACTATGTGTTCATTAATAAACAAATGGTGGACTATATATTAAGGGAGCTAACAGAAAAATGAACTGATTGGATCCAATTTACTTTTTATATGATTAAAATGTTTGTAAGAATACACATAAAAACATGGAAAAAGGATTGAAATAATATGTACCCCAAACTACTAATAATGGTTGTAAAGAATTTTCATTTTATAATCCTACAAAGTAGGTATTACTTAGTAGTTTATAATCATGGGAAAAAAAGAAAACAAGAGTATATAGTTTGAAATTTATTAGCTGGGAATAATTACTGAAAATAGACAGAGCAATGAAGTTTTTTCCCCCCTTAGTTGTCTTTGAATGACTGTTTTAGTCAAAAGCAAAAAGCTATAAACACAGAGACATCAATATTTCTAACTAAAATTTAATACTCAGAGTAGAAGTTTTACCTTGCTTACTTTGGAATTCGTATCCTTCTCTGTTTTTTTCAAATTTTCTTTTTTGTCTGTTTTTTGTAAAGCTGCTGACTCTTCTTCTATTTCATCTTCTCCTTCACCTCTTTTTTTATCAGCTTTCTGATCCCTGATTTCAGCTGCTTTTGCTGTAGGTCTAGATATTCTTGGAGACCTCCTTAAAGTACGTCCCACATTTGTTTTTTCTTCTTCCTTTTCTGTCTTCTCTTGCTTGCTTTCTGGTTCTAGAATTTGAGGGGGACAATCCGGCTTCTTCTTCCGACTAGAGATCCTTATTGTTAATTTGATACCTTCTTTCTGCCTTTCTGATGTTATCTCTGTATTTGATGTTATCTCTGAGGCAATAGTTTCTTCTTCAGGAACCAACTTATATTTAAATTTGCTTTTTTGTACTGACTCCTTTGTCTCTGAAGGATCAGCTAACCCAGAGGTCTGAGTATTGTCTAGATTATCCATTTCCACCTTTATGGACTCACAATCTTCTTTTAGAATTTCTAGGTCTGTTCTTTCCAGACCTTCAAAAGAGCTTACACTCTGACATTCAACCCCTTCTGTTTCTAAGGCTAGTTTCTCACAATGGCCAGTCATTTGAGATGGTGGGGAATTTTCAGCTGCCTCAGGAGAGCCTGGCTTTTCTGATTCTATAGTACTCTTTGGAACTTCTTCTGGTATTGGACTCAATCTTTGTGCGTCCTTATCCAGAAACGTCTTTTTACACTTCTCTAATTTTTCAAGACATTCTAGTGTTGGTGGACTATTATCCTTCTTACTTTTGGGGGGCTTCTCTTCTATTTTTAGAGTGCAGGATTCAGTGGCAGATACAGCAGTTTTAAAAGAGAGATCCTTTGCTACTTTAGAAGACTCGAAAGAAGTTTCCTTTTCTGGAAGACCAAGTTCCTCTAACAGCCCTTTTTGACTGTGAGTCTGTAAGACTGACACTGAACCATCTGCAACTTTCCCTAAAGGGACCATGTCTTTCTCGAGCTCATGAACTTTAGTACTGGTTATGACAGAATTTAAGCACTCTGCTCCATTTCCTTCCATGATGACACTTCTGTCCTTAGAAAGGTTGCTATAGAGGTCTTCCTTTGTATCATAAAACTTTGTCTCTATGTGTTCTGCTCTAACATTTGAAGCTATCTTTTCATCACTGACTTCTCCATTTACCAGTTGTTTTCCATCATGACTCAAAGTAGTGATTGTAGAGATCCTTTTACAGGTCTCTTCCTCTTGTTTAATTTCATCTTTCAAAAATTCTTTAGTTGGAGTAACTGATTTACACAAAGGTCCTTTGACTGGACTATCAAAATCATCACTCAGTTTAATTTCTCGTTTTTTAAGAGGTATCTTTGCCTGCTGGTCATTTTTAAGTTTCTCGGTTTCTTCAGGCGATTTTTCTGTAACGTCCTGAGAAGATCTGACATTGCCACCAAAGTCCAGCCTCTCAGGCTCCTGTGCCCCTACCTTCTCCATGCCGCCTTTGACATCTCTGGGATCTGTTCTACATTCTTTCACTTCAACTTTAATGGGTTTGATATTTTCCTTGAAAGAATCATTTTCTTCTTTGATAATCTTTTTTTCCTCACTTTCTGGCAAAGATTTTTCTAGCTTTAAAATGATAGGAAGTTTTGTGAGTTCCTTTTCATCATCTTTTTCAGTTTTTACAGTAGTCTCTTCTAAAACACTGGCTGTGCAGTGGTTTACTGAATCCACTGGCCTTTCCCCTTTCGTCTTTTCAGTTTCCTTCTGTTCCTCTAAAAACCAGAAGAAGTTTAATTACATTAATAGAAACATTCGAGATTATAAAATACAAAAGATTTAATATAACATGTTTCCATGTGAAGATTCTTTTTCAAAAGAGGTGGCTTTGTCACTAGATATCGACAATGAAGAAAATGACAAAATTATGAAACATCTTCTAGATATAAACAACTGCTATTTGAAAATGTTCAGGTTTCTGTTATTTATTTTTAGCTTCAGATTTCTCAAAAGAATCCAGATATTTATACAACTCCACGAATTTATTCAATAATTGAATAAAAATGGCTCAAAAATATGAAACTGAAAATGCTACATAAAACATTTCTTACTATGTTTCATAAACTGACAACTATTCCCACAAGGCATAGAGCACTTAACTTCACTGAAGTAACATGAGCATAGTAGTGGGAAAATAAAAAAAGAGGAAAGAAAATGCCCATAACCCTACTACCCAGAGGCAACTACTAGTAACATTTTAGGTTGAATCACCTTCTGGATGTTTTTCACCAATCTAGGGCCACGCTGCCTTAATGTTTTCATTAAGATACTAATGCTTGATCATGTTAAACACCCTTCTCAAAAATCAGCCAGGTACAGTGGTACACACCTCTAATCCCAGCATTCAGGATGCTGAGGCAGGACGATTGCTCTGAATTCAAGGCCACCATGTGCTACATACTGAATTCAAGGCCAGCCTGAACTACATAGCAAAACCCTGTCTCAAAAAACAAAAAACTAAATCAAACTTTATGATTAAATGAGGGTCTTCAATGTGATTGTGCTACAAATTTACCTTATCAAATGCCATTATTCACCACTTAAGAAGTTAATATTTTATAAAAAAGAATTTAGGTTCACCTGTCATTTCCTCTTTTTACTAACTATATAGTTCAACTACGGAGCACCTAATAGAGCAGATTTACACATAACAAATGTCACATCCAGGTAAATAGCCTAACTTCTGAAACAGCGTAGATTGCACTGCTAAACTCGGCAGTGTTTTTGAATCAATTACTATGAACTTTCTACATATTTCAGCCCTTTGAATCACCTTTGCAAATGAAAAACCTTAGTTTGAAGCCAAGTTTTACCAAGATACTAATTTCTTTTCAAAGTGTTGCACAGATGTTACTGAAAAACCTGAGTAACCGTGTATTTCGTGGGGATGTAATAAATGGAATAGAGAGAATTTCATGGGGATATAATAAATGCAATAGAGAGAAAAATAAGACAAGTATGGTATGCTTTTTAAAACTAAGTATTTAGGTCTGGGGATATAGCTCAGAGGCATAAGCACCTGCCTGGCAAGTGCAAGGTCCTGAGTTCGATTCCCGGTATCAAAAAAAAAAATTAATACTTCATTAAAAGTGAATGTTTTCACTACAAAGCTCCACTTTCTAAAAATGTCTACTTGTGTAGCAAATAAAAAACTCAAAAACCATTTAGAACCATTTAGAGCTTGAGTTTAGAGTGTCAGTATTACTTTACACCACTGGTGCTTTAACATATGGTGCTAAAAATTTAGAGATGACTGATTAATTTATAAATCTTCCTTTTTTATCATTGCTGAATAAATTTAGTAAATTCTCATTAAGCTTGCTTAGTGTATCAGGAACACTAAATAAACATTTTAACAGTTTGCTAACAGTTTTAAAATACAGACTGCTACTTTCAAAATGAACTTCAAACTAGTTCTAAGCGTTCAGCGGGGAACGGCGGGAATCAAACTCAGGACCTCACACTTGCCAAGCAGGTGCTGTGCCACTGAGCTAAATCCCCAGCCCCTGAACACAATTTAATACGTTTCCTATATGTTTATGGTTCAGGAAGCATCCCAGAACCACATCATGGCTCTACCCCCAAAGTAAAACAACACTGTTTTTATTTGAGGTAAAATGATTTTGATTCGAGTAACAACACATAGAACAAACTGAGAAATGACATGAGATTCAGGACTCTCAGATTCATGAATCCTAACTGAGCTACTTGGTGCCTCTGAGAGGACCATAAACTCTCTGATTCTCATTTGTTCATTTATAAATAAAGCAGATGGACTAAACAAGCTCAACTATTATTCTTCACTGGTATTAAATTTCTCTTATCCCAAATATGGTAAAATGTTGGAAATTTTGTATTTGGCTCAGTTCTTTAACAACAACGAAAAAACTGACAACAATTATTACTCTAGGTAAGTCTATATTACACAGGTAAGTCTCTGTACTTATATTACACAGGTAGATTACACAGGTAAGTCTCTGTAATGGTACAGAAAGCAGAAGAAACATGAGTGAACGGGAATGTACGCATAATAAATGATGAAAAGGTCAGCAAATCCTATGAGCATTCTTTCAAGGTTTGTCAAAAAGTGACTGTAAAAAAGCATGTGAATGAGTTTTACAGGGATGAAATTTGAAGCAACAAAGCGAAAGGAAAATTTATTTGAAAAATCAAAATGAACAACATTTCTAGCCACATTGAAGGTGACTCAAGGGAAGTAGTATTTACTGTGGGTTTCTAAAGGTGAAGCATTTGTTGACTCAACGAGTATTTAGGGATTACCTGGTATATGCTTTCTGAACTATCAAAAGCAAAATCACTAACACTGAATATTCCACATAAATTAACAGTGGGGGACACTGATCAGGACCTACACAGTATTTAACCACCTCCTCTTTGTTATTAAGAGAACCCTAATTTTGTTTAGGAAGGTGCTTGCCTTCTCAGACACCTTACAGCCATCGGTCATATGGTTTAGTTACAATCAAGGAAATGTATGAGGAAGTCTGGTGAGGATAGGACTCAACCGACTTGAGTTTTCTGACCTTTTCCTATGTCCAGATTCTGCATACAACACCCGGAGAAAGAGCAATCAAAGCCACATGATAAAAACAGCAGACTAAGCAAGCTTCTTTTTTGTGGTCTTTTTGAGACGCGGTCTTCACTATGCAGTTCAGGCTGGCCTTGAACTCACTTTATAGCTCAGGCTGGTCTTTTTTGTTTTTTGTCTTTTTTGAGGCAGGGTCTCAATATGCAGTTCAGGCTGACCTTGAGTTCACTTTGCAGCTCAGTCTGGTCTCGAACTTGCAAGGATCCTCCTGCCTTAGCATCCCAAGTGCAGCCTCCCGAGTGCATTGTAGGTGTGCACCACCACGGCCGGCTATAAAAGCTACTTGATGATTTCATGAAGCTACTATCTAAGACCTAGACTTACCACTTGACTTTTTATTGTAAAAAAAAATGTTAAAATCCAAGTACAATACTTTTAAAATATAATTATCTTTCACTTTTGCTTCCTCCTTTCCCATACTCACAAAAATTTACTCATCCACTTAATATATTTTGGAATTGTCATCTTTTTGGGCTATAAAGGAGAAACTAATACCCAGTAAGGTTTTAGTCTCTGTAATGATTCTCTTTTAAGAGAAGTGAGAAGTAAATTGATACAAACACAGCAAACAGCAACTTGGAATATCTTTTTTTAAAACATGAGGAAATATATATCACTCAGCATTCTATTTCTACAGTACACTTACAACTACACACATATAAATATAAACATATTTCATCCATGAGTATTTGTTGTAGCATTGCTATGAAGTGAAAAACTAGAAATAACCTAAATATCTAACAAGTAGGGGAATGAATAAACACCATGTGCTCATTAAAATGCAAATCATGAATTTACATGGTTCTGATGGATAGATGTCAAAGCCAGAATGAGCAGAAAAAGCAAGCTGCAAAAGAATAGATACAACATGACACTATTTGTAAAAGAGCTATAAAATATGTGAACTACAATGTATTGGAGTGTTTATACAAATGTATAAACAAAATGTGGGACCAGTTCACAGGATTGCAGCAGTTCCTGGAAAAAGGAGAGACAGGCTTGGTGGTACAGGTCTGTAACTCGAGCACTTGGGAGGCTGAGGCAGGAGGAGCTCAGTGAGTTCAAGGCCAGCCCGGGCTATGTAATGTGTTTAAAGCCAGCCTGAGCGACATGACAAGACCCTGTCATTAAGTAAGTAAGTAAGTAAGTAAATAAATAAATAGCAATGGAAAGAAAAAAGTTGTAACTGTAATTTTTAAAAAACAAATGCAAAATCTGGCAAAACATTGGGTGTACAGGTAATTGTTATCTCCTATTTATTTGAACTAATTCATTAAAAATTTAAAAGTTCAAGGTCAGATAAATCTTAATACTTTGATGTTATCTCTACTCTAGACAGGTACAAGACCTTGGAGAAATTACTTGAACCTTTCTAAGTCTCTTTAGACTCTAAATTCTAAAACTAAAATATAAATTCCCATACCACAGGCAGTGGTTGTGAGGGTTTTTGTATTTTTAAATTAAGAACATGAAGCACTTCTACAGTACTTAGGTGCTACTATTATGTAGTCCCCTCCTTTTGCCACGCACTTTAGCCACATTAAAAAAGGTCAGGATTTCCTAAAGCCACCACTGGCAGCTTTCCTCTGTTAACTTCGCCTAAAGACGAATATGAGGTACTAAGATTAAACCTTGGGAGGTACTAAGATTATATTAATATGAGGTACTAAGATTAAACCATGGGAGTGCTAAGCTATATTCCCAGCTCCTCTAGCTACCTAGTTATCTTTATTCTGAGACAAGTCTTGCTAAGTTGCCCAGGCGGGCCTTGAACTTGTGTTCCTCTTGTCTCAACCACCTGAGTAGCTAGGATTATAGGTACAGCTGTGCTAGCCCAGCTGTGCCTAACCTTCCATTGCTATTCTTTAGCTTCTACCATTCTTCCAACTTTTACCATTAGTAACTATCTCCTAAGGCTATATTAATGGTTGCATGTAATATGGCATACAAAGCCTTACCATGAGTGGCATACACCAAGTACTCAATACTGACTAATATGATAATTATATTATGGACAAAATCTTACATTCAAGCACAGTTAAAATGTCTATTTTATAGTTTCATAACTCATTATTTACCTATAAAGAATTAGCAATATCTCCTGGT